GTTTCAAAACTGTCCCTTGTTACAAAAGCAAGTTTTTTTCGGTCATTCGACATAAGTTGAATTTTTTCAAGGACTCAGGATTTAATCCGGTCAAAGTGACCTCAGAACTCTAGCATTGCGAGGATAACCGTACAACTGGCATTTTATATCAAGAGGGTTATCGGGCATTCCAGCCAACAAAATGACTTTTTTTGTGGGGTTTAATTTGGGATGAACACGAAACTTGAAATCCAGCACGCGACAGCCGACTCATAACACAGCGTAAAGGAGCAAGTCAAGACGTAAGTACCTGACAAGAAATGTGACTTTTGCACTTAAGCGTATATTTTTTCGTAAGTTCAGATTTGCTCATTTTGCTATCTAGGTTGTATACATGTTTATCGTTTAACACTCAGCCGATATGGAGCCACTCGCACAACCTGCTCGCACGCTAATGAACACTTGCCTGTTGAGAAACTGATATATAAACTGGTCTTAGTTTAGTTTGCTTCTAAAACGGTTAAGTAGACAAACGCCTTAGAATGGTCGATACTTAAAAAGTTTGTTCGTTGCTCGTTAGCCAGGAGGGTTGTCTTTTGTCCTCATTTTCTTTTGCTTTTCCTTAAACTAAAGAGAAAAAAAATCAAATGAAACACCTTGACAAAAATCCCGAAAGAGTCTTGGAAAGTTAGTGGGACGTCTAGCGACCACACAAACATCAGACCAACAATGTGAGGAGCATTGAGCACTACAGAACACTTCAACACTGTGTATAGCTCTCTGTTATCACAGTACTAGATGCTGAGTGACACAGTTTGGAAGACTCGAGTAATTGCAAGTTTTCGTTGTTGCGACGAACTGTCCTTAACCACCGTGAACAGCTGTATTTGACGATATTTTCAAAGCCATTATGCAATGCGAACTCGCTGATTCATGAACATTTATGCTAATAGCAATATCGGATTTTAGGCTAGTCACTGTAGTTTTCCAATTTTGATGACGTTAGAAAGGAAAGCTCTATTTGTATTCTTGAAATACAGCCACTGTTGCTATGGAGACAGTCCTGGGTACTTGAACAGCGGTGATTGGTTATTGACGTTATCTTATAAATATAAATCAGACCAAAGGTTTCATATCAGGTTCATAAGGAGACGCATAGCGTTATTATCTCCTTGTTGCCTTTGAAAGGACTGAGGTTATCGACAAGAGAACACAAAGAATACACGATACGTGGGTAAGAACAAGAATTAGATGTCGGACAAAGCGTCTAGCTAGTAAACACATTATAATTAGCTCGAAGCTTTGTGTTTCTTTAAGATTTAGCGTTCTTTAGTGAAAATTGCAGCAAGTATTAGCCAGCTGGGTCCTCTGAATTTGACTTCATTGCTACAGCAATAACACTGGAGTGTTCAACATTAATTCGTCCAAAAGTTAAACTCAACTACATGGTAGAACTGAAAGTCATCACTATTAACAAAAATATGTAGGACAAATTAATTAGAAGCTAACATAAGCTGGGTAACTTATATCAGTTCCAAGGTAAAACGGAAATCTCTTTTAAATTGTTATGATAGAAGATTCCTTACATAGTTGAATAGTTTGACCGACAGCAGCACGCAGTAGAACATTTTCACCATGGCCTCCATTCCTTCCAAGTCTCCGATCGACATTGAATTTCTCCATACAAAATCAACGCATTATGGTAGAGTCTGTGAATCATTACGAGGAAAAAAATCTTCAAGCCATACATTAAAAGAAATGTTAGTCAATCTGTCAGGGGAAAAAAAGCATTTCGAACTCCAGCCGGCTTATCAACTTATTTTTGAAACCATTCTGTTTTGTAAAGTTGAAGATAAAGGACTGCTCAAGTGGAGAAGAGTTTTCAAAAAATTAAAATTTGCCTATTCACTATAAATTCCAAACCGCCGTAAAACTCATGCGAAAATGTAACGATGGCTTGGCAAGTGACTGTTCGTTGCAAGAGTTGTGCGCTTCCTTACTGGCACAATGGAAGCCTGTTTTCCAGGCACGAACTTCACAAAACTATTCTCATGCCATTCAAAGCTGCCTGGCAATTTTTTGTGATAGAACGTAGCAGTTTGTTTCGGCTTAGATGATCGAATCAAATGCTACAAATTCTTGGAGTGTATACGTAGCCAAGGATAAAGAAAACTTTTAAACCAGCCTGAATCAGCGAAAATGAGCTAATTCTAACAATAATAAAAGCGACAAGAGTACAACCCTGATCAAACAAAGACAAGTTTATACAACAGGTTCTGCNATACGTAGCTAGGGATAAAGAAAACTTTTAAACCAGCCTGAATCAGCGAAAATGAGCTAATTCTAACAATGATAAAAGCGACAAGAGTACAACCCTGATCAAACAAAGACAAGTTTATACAACAGGTTCTGCCGTCAGCAAGTCTCACTTTGTGTATTTAAATATAGTTCAGCATTACAAAGAAAAAATCTGAGTTCCTGGCGCTATGCGACCTCGTGACCTTTGTGTGAGCACTGAGATAGTAACATTTTGACTTAACTTGGCGAAGAAGTGAAAGAGATGGATTGTTCCTTCTGCCACACGCTGTTGCGCGAGCACCGCACTCAAGGTCTGAATTCACAGTTGTCTTACATCGCTTATCGCTTGAACAGCATGAAATAGCGATAAATTATATCAATAACCTCTGGTTTCGTATCAAATATATTCCGCCTTGCCCACCCACAAAACTAATCAAAACCACACCGTCACATTTAAAGGAAATTTTCTCTGATTAGAACACGACTGAATGGCTTGTTTCTCGCATAGGAACAATTCGCGCGACAAGCCCTCAAAATCAAGATAGAAACCTTACAATCGCAAGGACCACAGAAAACCGCGGCTTTTTTTTCTCGCTGTCTCTAACGCAAGGGACGCTCAGCTCATAACCTGTAATGGCCGATTAGTAACAAATGGTGGACGGTGGGAAGTTATCTCGGTTTGGAGGCAAAAAGGAAGTGAAAAACCAAATAGAGGACACTGTCACTGAACCCATTTCTCCTTCACGATCGTGCACGTGGTCGCAAGTGATCGCGAGAATTGTTAAAAAAAAACAAATTAATTATTACTTTTAATCATTTACACTGGGTCTCGGAGTATTTTTTCGCGTGATCATTGAGTGTGTGAATTAGTTCTTTACCCTTGTTTATTGTTTACTTGCGGGGGAAGGGATTCAAAAGACCACACCTAGTGAAAAAGGTTATTTCTAAGGATCTTCTTGCCGTATTAAAAGTCAGTCAAACATCGTTTCCAGGGTGCCGAACCTAAATTGCGTTAACTGCTCATAAGTGACCTAACTATGTCCTCCCGGGTATCCTGTACGTTATAAGACAGTTTCTCAAGAGTTCATTAAGTAAGGCTAAGCCACTGATTAGGCCACATACTCATTCCTTCACGGACTAAAGAAACATTCTCACGGCTAAAACGTGTTTTTCTTGGGGCTGAACATGTTTTCCTAGTCTGTAACTGTAATTTAACTCCTCTTCAACGCGTGGGAAAAGATTACAGCCTTCTTACACCTTTCCAGTCTCTTTTCGTGCAGCTGGGAAAAATCAAAACACAGACCACAACTCCATTTTGCGGTGAAAACCAGGAACACAAGGTATAGGGCCTCGATCAAGGAATGGTATCGTAACTAACCCGCATGGAGATAGAATTATTGTTTTCTTTTCCATCAAGGTCATGAATCAGTAACCTTCTTGAATAGCCTGCGTTTAAATTGTAGTTCCCTGCTAGCCAGCATGGCGCCTTAAACTGTTTAGCTCAGTTTGCGTGCGTTGTAAGAAAATAATTAGCGATGTAAAAGGTATATATAAAGAAGGTAATTGATTATCAGAGGTCGTGCGAGTTGTGAGAAATCAAAGGCTCTCCGACTTCCTGTGAACGATACTTTTAGCAATGACAGATGCCATTTCCTCTAAATTGGTCAATAGCGAGCCTTCCGCTTTTCTATAAGTGGCATGTCCCAAGTCAAATTTATTAAGACTTAGAGGAAAATTAATAGCAAGTCGTGTGCACTAGCCACGCACACGTTTAGAGTTTCCGACCCAACACCCGCCCGTGCCAACTACTAAGATAGGAGCTGCGATATCAGCGATAACCTTCGCTCTTGAACGTCCTATTTCGATTCGATTGATTTACCTACTGACAGACTGCAGACGTCTTCACTTCTAAGGCAAGGCCGATATATATTAATCTATTTACAAGCAAAACTGTTTACTACTCATTCCGTTAGATTATAATGTACATGATAAGGCTGCTAGGTATGGTCACTGCATTGAATCGCGTGTCTGCGTAATCTTTGTTTTAAATTCTTGTTGTTTTGGCTTCAGTTCATATGACTTTTGTTTTTTCTAACGCAGAATGGCAGTTTTGGTAAACATGTAATGTAAACCCGCTTTCTATTAGACGGGAGATTCGCGGTTAGGTTGGAAAACCAAAGGTTCTTTTTTTCTGAACAGTTATTTAGTGATCATTCACTCTTCGCAGAGCTTTTCACTATAATAGTGTTTTACTGATACAAGTCTGATCCACTATCCTGTCATGTTGCCTGGATAATCTGGAAGAAATTTTCTCTGCTTGTCTTCAATTGATAATTTGAATCACAGCAGGGTAGAGAAATTTGAGAACTGTCAAGTTCACTCATATTCCCTCAGGGAAGTCTACTGCGGCTCACTTGGTATTTTTTCAACGTAGGTTGTCTCCGAAAACTCTTTTGACTGCGAGTCGATCTCAGTGCCGAGGATTTGCAGTATCGCACCAAGCTCGGGAGATTTGTAAGACAGAACGTGAACCTGATCAAGCCCTCAATTCGTGTAAGTTAAAAAACAACATTTTTAGTGTGATAACTGATCATGGTTCCGCTTGTGAAGTTTTCACTCTTGTACGTGGTTTGTATGATGTGCGCTCTGACGCCGTGCGAAGCCCGATCTAAGAGGGCACGGCCTGTGATCCGCAAATCCTTGTTAATTGTCGACCAAGAGGGAATCGAGGTGATCAAGCACGCGTCCGAGTTGACCAAGAATGCCATAACGAAGTCGCTGAAACCAATGTTTATGGACGACCACCATTTCATCAAGCGAGTGGCAATGGTTGAAAATTCGCTAAACAGAACCTCTAAGGAAGGCGGCCTTTGGAACGTCGACGAATGTGCTTTCAAAGCTACACTCAACAGACGAAAGGAAAACAAAAAGTTAGCAGCGCTACACAAGACGGTACGCCGTACGTTTGGTGTCACTTGGTCCAAGATAAAATACAACGATTTAAGGCGACCCCTGTACTCTGTGTTGGCCGCTAGGATTATCCTGGAAATGACTGAACGCTCCATTCCCCGTGGTCTGAGAAACCAGGCAAAATTTTGGTTAGAGACATACCACGGCTGTGCAGAAAAACTCGGCAAACCACAAGCATGGGAAGAGATGAAAAACAAATTTATCAGAGGTGTGTGTTTTTATTTTGTCCCATTTATTGTACAAATATAAATTAAAGGTAGAGATGCATGTAGAGATGCATGTTGAGTATTTACCAGTCAGCTTAAACTCTGGAATTAAGCTTAAAACAGAGGAATGAGGTCCTGTGCTTCAACCGGAAACTCAGTAGTAGGTTCCGGTGCGCATCGTATTTTCTCGCGAGAAAATGTACAGGAATCTCACCGCAAATGGAAAGGTCAGTGAGGTAATAACTAACTATTTTTACATTTCTTGCTGTGTCCCGCGTTATCTCACGCTAACTAGCAATGATTTCAAAGTTAATTATGTCTCGCGCGTGTGGCTGACTAAAACTGACTTGAAGATGTTGCGCTAGGTTTGGACAGCAAAATATAACATGATCTGGGAAGATTTGTTGCTTGAGCGTCTCTGCTATGCTATTTTTGAATCTCATGAGTGTTTTTGAGAGGTTTACTGATATACTTTGATAGAAGCGCCCTTGTATAGAGCCAATGAGAATGAAGCAGATGAACAGACATCGTGAAAGCGGCTTCGCCCGTAACTCCCGCGGCCACGCAGATTCTGTAAACAAACAAGTAGCGGCTAATGGTCGAATATAAATCTCAAATTTCTCAAGTAAAGTGCTGTCATTAGGCAATGGAATATTGGTAACAGCTGAAGATTGAGCTTTGTTCTTCTCAGTAAAATAATTCATATAATGTCCTGGTTTTGGCAAGCCGCAGTTTCTGCTACTTTTCTCAAGAATATTATTGTTCCAGTTTATGATAGGATAAGGTGGAACACGCGGTTTTCCCTGTTTACTTAATAAACGTGAACGCCGATAAACTTCCATGAAGCTGCTTCTCTTTTTCCGAGATAAAGTGTTCGCTGCTGTCGCAATTTGTTACAGAGCGCTAGGAACTTAACTCTTGTTTGTTCAAATTTACTCGTTGAACAGATTGCGGGCCGCGAAACTCACTAAAGGCTTGTTACCGATTTTATTACGTGATTCACTATTGATAAGGAAGCGAAAGGTAATTTCTGTTACAACGTTAGCGGGATTACAACTGCGCTTTGAGCTGCGGAACCAGCTCAAAAATGCTAGATAAAGCGAAAAAACGCTCAAAGCGTCTAATAAATAGAAATACGATCTTTTCATATTAGGGGGAATAAAGTTCGTAAATCAGTCATTTGTGTTTTACCCTTTGGTGTTTTAATTTTTTTTATTTTTGGGTGCATTTTTTTCATCTCTGTGACAGTTAGTTGTTTTCATCACTTCTGATTTGTTTAGTTTGCTTCATAGAGAAACATTCTTTCCAGTCTGGTCCCGATAGAAGACAAATAAAGCATTCTGATGATCTAATAACTGTAAAATTACTTAACACTAGAAATCAATTTTCCCTCTGCTAAATGATGAGAATAACACGTTCGATTCCAAGTGCTGTGTCATTTGTACTTAAAAAGTTTTGTTGTCGATTCTCCGGGACGAAAGTCACTAACAACTGAGAAATTGATACAAATTTGTTTTTAAAACCCTTTCATTCTTCCGGCCCCTTTGTTCTCAGTGTTATCACAATTGTATTTGTTCATGCTGTTTTTAAGCCCATTGGAATCGTTCGAGATAAAAAACATTTAAAGGAGATGAACAAACAGGATTTGTTGAATATCTCAAATGTAAACAATGCCCAGGAGTCTGATCCCCTCTTGGTGGCACTTTTGCACTTTGGGAAAAAGTTTTAGCGTAGCTCGTTTCCCGTTAACGTAAACAGAAATTTGCTGAAGTTGACAAAGAAATTGTTTTACCTCAAGGCAGTTTTGTTATTTCCTGTACATGCCTCCCCCATCAATTTATCTAGCCCACCCTAATAAATAACTGTTAAATAGTTCACATTAGTGTTTTTTTTTCTCACTCGTAAAACCTCCGCCCTCCATAACCTTCTTGCTGCTCTCGGCTAATTCTTTCACTGATGGACGTAGTATCGTATCCGTGGTGAACTATATATAAATTTCTATGGATTCTTATCGAAATAGTTTAATGTTAACGCTTAGTAGGTACAGCCTCAAGTACGTGCTTCTAAATCTGTGCTGTGTAGGATCGGAATGGAAAGGATTAATCACTGAAGTACACTTAACATATCAACTGGCGGTGGAGTTCCAGATGTTCAAATTTACTCATTTGATCGCAATTGCATGAAAAGATCGCGCAATATGGGGTGCACATTCATTTAATAAATAGCTGCTAGTTAAGAAAAGTAAGTACAAAGTACAGATAAGAATGAAAAAGAATAACAATGCCATAAACATTAAAAGTGATCTTTTTAAAGGCCGTACGTGAGTGCATTTTGGAAGAATTTGTAGCCAATCGGTTCAGCTGACTGCGGTCACAAAAGCGAGAAAAAGTGTTTATTCAAGGAAATTATTCTCGCCCTAAAGGAAAAAGCAGGTCTCCGGCCGGACGTTTCTTGGTGTTCAACCACACCAGAATTGAAGTTCCGTGGCTTTTCATTAAAACTGGTTACAAACGACAATGGTGGTCCCACGCTAAATTATTTTCCACATTTTTACACTTAGCTTCTCTATTTTTCGAGAATCAAAACGTTTCCTCTTACTAAATGAGCTTCATTTACAAGAAACCTAATAAACAATTTGATTGGAATATGGTTGAAGGGGTTCAGAGTTTTCTGCTTATCTCGTCTCAAACTGAGAGAAGGAAAACAAGAGATTAGCTGGGATAAACGGATCCACCTTATGAGATGGACTTCACTTTAGCACTGCACGAAAGAGATCAGCTGTTTAGTAACTTGAAAATAATCCATTCACCCATCCAGTCAGAAGTCAAATAGTAAACATTTTCATTCAGCAACGGTTTTTTTATTATTATTATTTTCCTTGTAGTGCTAACGCCTGGTTACACCACGAAGTGTGCTCGCACTTGCACGTGACAGCATTGGTAATGTTCTTAGAACAGAACCATGACATTCTCATTTCGGCATTTCTTGAGTACCAATGGTGTTACGAATAATGTAATTGCATGTGTCGTGATAGCAAAGAAACTCAGTGTTAACATTGAAGTAGTGGTAAAGATGTTTTCTATCAGCAGCTTCGCTTTAGAAAAAGCCCTTGTCAGTGGCGATAGATCTCGGAGAAACTACATTTCGTCAGTGTATTCGGCTGTCTTTTAATTATTTTTTTCCGTATGGAATTTCAAGTTTTCTTATTCTTGTTTCACTTAGCGATCGAATACACATTTTTGTGGGTTTTAAATTGATACTTCAACAATTATCAATCACGCAAGTCTTTAGTTTTCCTGTTTTTCATAAATGTTTGGAACTTTCTAGCTCCCATAAGACAATCAGGGCTTTGACTTCTGCCAAATCAAATTTAAAATCCTTGAAAACTTTTTAACTTTTCCAGGGACTAGGCTATCCTAGTTTGGGTTTCTCCATTCCTTGTCTTCTAATTGCCAGATCGATTGTTTCATATGCATTTAATGGGGAACTCCAGTCACAACGTGTAGGCCCGATAGAAATCCAATTATCATTAATACGATCCGATTACTATTTTGGGCTCACCTTTAACCACCTATATTCCTCCGTACGTCCCTTTTCAGATGGTTTTATTTACTCATCGTTTCCAACCATCTCTTGTTAAGAATTTCTTTTAACTGAGGCCTAGCTGTTTTTCTGTTATAAGAAATCGGTGTGACATTAAAATACAGCACAGTTTGAAAATATTGTTCTGCACGAAAGCAACGAGACATGTTTTAAAAAAATCATTTACATTGACGCCTTTTGAAACTTTGTTTATCTTTCAAACCAAAAACAGGCTCTTTAAAAGTTATTTTCTGAAAAAATCAACTTGAGGTTTTCCGCTTAAGATTCTATTGTTTCTGAGTGCTTTTATGTTTGCACGTACTGATACTTGACAAGAGCTCTTTATCTTTTCTTCAAAAGGCAAACAGCATTGCAGAAAGCCCGCCATAGTCAGTCGAACTTTCGGAAATCGAACTCAATCGAACCAAATCCAATACCGAACTTTGTGTGAGTTCGATTTCCGAAACAATCGAACTCAATCGAACAAATCGAACCGAACCTAACTAAATCCATTAGATTGTGTTTGATTGGGTTCGGCAGCCGAATTCAATCGAACAAAATCCAATGGATTGCGTCTAATTGTTCGGAGAATAAATTCGCTTGAACAAAGATTATGTTATTTGGGCTCGTAAATACGAAAAACGCGTGTTATACTGTAGTAACTCGAGCCTCGAAAACCTTGAACAAAGATTATGTTATGTGGTCTCGAAAACACGAAAAATACGTGTTATACTGTAATAACTCAAGCCTCGAAAAACTTGTTCTTGATTTTCAACACCAGTTTTACAAAAAAACAAGAGTTCGGAAATCCAAAGTTCGATTTGGTTCGGTTGTCCAATTATTTTTGTGTGAGTTCGATTTGGTTCGATTGCCGGACACAATCGAACTCAATTGATGGATTGAGTTTGATTTAGTTCGATTGAGTTCAATTGAATACAGTTCGATCGGGTTCGATTGACTATGCAGGAGTAAGAGTCCGTTTCATGAAAACTAAACCTATTTGGCATGGCGTGTGAAAATTAAGTAACCGATTAATAAATTAATAAATACATCAGACCAGTTGACTGTCGATCAACAGGTTTTTCCGGTGTTCATCATCAGTCCTTATTGCCCCCAGTGGGGCATGGGGCCGGTGCTCGGAATACTGAGAAATTCTTCAGTTGCGCGAGCAGCGAGCACTTCAACAGCTAGTCTGTCAATGGAGACGGCTCCTGGATGTGCAGTGGCTGAAATTTCAGACGGCTTCAAAACTGACAGCCAATCACTAGTGTAGCGGTGCTGTTTGTTACGTCTTGCAGCCACTTGCAGTGTTTTTCGCTTCTTGTTCTATGATTCATGATGGTAAAGAACAATAAACAGTGCTCGTAATTTAAATGAGAAACTCACAGTTGCGCAAAGTTTGACTAAAAATGAACTCCTAGGGCTATTCTATTCAGTCCATAGCTTGAACAAGAACAGTCACTAAGAACTGAAACAACAAGAATATGATAACCACCGCAGGAATACTGTGTCGTTACTGGAAAGAACGGCTGGCGCTTCCATCATTTTACATGGAACTAAAATCTTTCCTGTGTTGATAGACACATACAGTCTTTTTCACAGCTATACCGGTGTGTGTGTATGGTTATATGTAGTGCTTTGTTCTACAAAAGTTCCCATGTCTACTTTTGAAGAAGTACAAAAACATGATGATAAGAGGATTAAGTTTTTAAAGAGGTAATGGTGGGCTAATCCGATAAATGAAATCTTCGCAGTGTCCCAGGTGTTACCATAGCTCTGAAACACTACGTGTGCTGGTTTTCTGTCGACAGGCGCTTTTGCGGTAGATGCGGATGTGCGTGTGTTCAGCGCATCTGGAGCAGGACAAAGATCAAAATGATGAATATTTGTTCTGTCTTGCGTCATGCGTGTTTCGGCTGCAAAAAGAAGTCATTGCTTGCGGCGTTAACTACGAATGTTGAGCGAGAGAGAACAGACAAACATCCGAGAACTAAAACGCATAAATCAGACCCAGGGGCTATATCATTGCTCGAATAACACTTAAAAAAGTTATTTGTATAACATTCTATTTATACTTTTGAAAAGCGATCGCGGAAACTTAGCAAAGCCGGGTAGGTAGTTCTGATGTTTAATTAGATTTGTATTACGTTTCAGTGGCCACGCAAGATGCAAAGCGGTATCCAAACGAACAGAGGGACTCTAAACAAGCTAGAAATAATGACTTAACAGATAGAGGATTTTTTGAAATGTAGGCTTGCACTCAGTGAAAAAAAGTCGATGCCACTTTGTTTCTTTATTTTAAGTAGAGTTGTTAGTCTATTATGTCCGTCAGCGCGAAAAGCCTTAACAACTTTAACTCTGAATTAAGGAAATGCGGTGTTTTGTTCCAATTCTTTAATAATGACTCGGTTGTTGATTTCTTTGCCTGTGGGCTGTCGCGTTGGTCTTGAGGTTATGAACAGCATTCAAACTTAAAAACCTAGTAAATAATATATGTTCGTATCTGGTCAAATTATGTTTGTTTTGATAGCCGTTCACATCTCTCGTTTCTCAAAAAAGAAAGTGCAAAACCGCATCTAAGGGAATGAATCTCGACAGCATTTACACCTAAATTATTTATCTTGCCAAAACCCACAAAACTAATCAGTTGGCATGCAGTTTTAAGAAGGAAGACGTACTGATATCAAAGTGTGCTCTCGTCCTTTTTATTTCTTTACTTTTCAAAACCGCTCTTCCGTCTACCTTGGAGAATCACCGCATGTTTTAAGGAATTTGCCGTTACAGCTTTTTTTTGGGTGAGTTTGATTCCTTGGTTGATATTCTGTCTTTTTGTCTTCTCCTTCGCAGCTGTGAAAAATTCTTGTGACAGTGAGTTTTTAAAGTGTGAACACGAGTGCTATAAGCCGAATAAGGGTAGAGCTGAATGCCGGTGTAGAGACGGATACACGTTGCAAAGTGATGGGCAATCTTGTGCAGGTGAGACACCACTATCAATGGCACGTCCTGCCGAGGGGTGTTAGGCAATTTTACTCTTCATACTTGTAGAACTTGGTCGGGTGAATAAGCAAAGAAAGATCTGATCTGAAATTCCACGCAGCTAGATCGTAAATGTTTCTTTACCTTGTATAATTTTATTTTCGTATTACGCTAAATCATTCAATGTCAAAACGTCTTCCTTTGATATTACTGACAGAAGCATTTCACTTGAATATATCATAACATTGTGTTTTCTTTTAGCCGGAGCATCTCGATCCCCCAGTGGTACCAAGGCCCCATCTCCAGAGCTGGAAACTGACAATGGGTGTGGGACTGGGCTCAAGTGTGAACACAAGTGTATATCATATGATGGTGTCTCTCAGTGCGTGTGTCGTGATGGCTATCAGCTGCATATGAATGGCTACAGTTGTGTTGGTAAGCCAAGTGAATGAAAATTTCTGGCTCTCATCATGGATGTAAACGTTATAGAATCGCATCGTAAAGCATAACAAACAGTACCACATGAAAGAACGTCTCAACAGCCTTTATTTGGCTGGTCACATGCAGTAAGGCTTTAAAACTTCCGTTGGTTGACATTAATAGTTTGAACCTTTTACTCTGTATACGGTATTTATATAATAATCAAATCAATGCGCGCGCTCTGATTGGTCAATCAGCTATGGTTTATTGTACCAGTAAACTCATGGAAATTTCGCGTGTCTTCTGAATTATTATTTAAAAGCAATAGACCACACGTTTTTATGGTTTATAGGCTGATAAACCACTGCGGATGTTGGAAGAACACTCGAAAAATTCGTTAATCACTCGCGGTTCATGATTTACAAATTCTTCTCGTGCTCTTCCAACATCCGCAGTGGTTTATCAGCCTATGAACCATAAAAACTTGTGGTCTATTGCTTAAAGAAGGGTTAGAGCTGCCATAACCGGAGTGAATTTTTTGTTCATGAATGGATCTTTACTTTCAGATTGTAAACTAAACTACAATGCGGACGACCAATGACATGAACTAATGACGTCATTACATTGCATTGCTTGTTTTCAGACATCGATGAATGCCGGTATTCACCGTGTTCACAGTTGTGCAGAAACACTCCTGGCTCATTTTACTGTTCTTGTAGATCAGGATTTAAGCTTCAGTCAGACAAGAGCACATGTAAAGGTAAATAAACGAACACTTCACGTGAACAAGAAATGATGGTGGACCTGTCTGTGATGTGTCTAATGAATGCCAAGTCATTGCGGTGGTAAATATGGTTACTAGATCTCAAAAACGTTTAGGATATAGAATAACAATAGAATAGAATCTAGAATAATCTTGTCTGGATATATATCTGATTGCAGAAGAGAAGATCAAATGCTCGTCGAATGATATTGCTTGTATCGAGAGATGTAAGCAGATTGGCAATTGCTCCTGTCCACCAGGATTTGCCATGGGCCCGGATGGCCAGACTTGTGTTGGTAAGTTAAACCAACCGTATTTAGTCGATAAATGAGGTAGCCACCGCACAAAGTTGAAAAAATCTCAAACGACATGCGTAGAGGTCCTAAAGAGGTTCAAATTCAAGATGGTGAATGATCTTGGAAATTTAAAACTTGCGAGATGAGTCTGGATACGAGGTCCGAGTGTTGGCTTGTTGCCTGCATGAAGGGCTTACTTTCAAAGTGTCAGTCGCTGAAACCTTCGAAGGCGGTTATATCATTCGACTCACTTCTTGTTGATAAAACGAGTTAACTGATCGTGAGCACCAATTGCGTGACAATTGAACTTCCTGAAGTATCTTCAGTGGAATATACTAACAGTTCGAGCCAAACACTACTAACCGATGAAAAGCCCCGTGATAAAGTGATCGACGAAACAACATATCGGATGTAAGTGGCCACTGTTTGCACGAATTTTAAGTTATAAACCAAACAAACGGCGATATATATCTCTTTTTAGACTCGTTGAAAAACCCTTCGTTGAGTACGGGAGCTTTGTCATCTGTTGGCCTAGCAATGTTTTCACAAGAAGTAAAGTTATTTGTTTGTAAAGCATAAAAAAACCTCAACGAAGCTGTCACACCAATTTCTGTTTTCAATTGTCAGTTCAACACAAATGGAAGATTTGAAATGATAAACATTTCTGATACGTTATCGCTGTGTCTCAGGTGCACTTAGCTCATGTTTTCTGACTATAAACGGCGGTCTAATTTCTCACTTAACATGGTGTGCAGATCACGAAGCTGAGAACTTCAAAATTAACATAGAATCCGCCTTAAACCACTTACCCAAAGGAATTTGCAAGGGATGTTCTTATAACCCGAGCACACAAGAAGTTGGAATTCTTGAAAGACCATTGCGGCCACGAAGTTACCAATAATTAAGTATTTGTAAAACAGTTTTCTAGCTGCCGGCAGATGTAAATCTGTTCTTTTTTCCCAGGAGGAACATGTCTAAACTTCACTTTTCCACCAAGTTTCCTGACAAACTTGCCAGCCAGCTGATGTATAACCCAAATTTTTGAATTATTACACTACCAATTGAGCTCCTACCAATGAAAAGTTGTTTTAGGAAAAGGAATCGTAAACATTTCACCTAGTAAGCATAGTTCGGCAAACCCATTTTGTGGGTTAAGGTTTAGTCACATCTGGTGGGTGAACCTTGGTTTCCAGCCAGCACGACTTCCAAAAAGAAAACAGTTCCACCGGGGAACAAATTTTTCGGAATAGGTCTGTTCAAATGCCCCTTGATAACCACGGTTGTTCCCATATCGTTTCTAAATGGACGAGACGATTCTCAAACTAAGCATAATTCATTTAGTGCATGGCAGGCCTTCCCATAACTCCGCCTCTTGCTCTAAAATAAAGTGCCTCTTCTTTTCCAGTTTCTATGATATTCAAGTTTTCTTGTACTTGTTGATTTAGAGGTGGATGAATGCACACTGTTCAAAGGCGTTTGCCATCAGAATTGTATCAACACGCCTAGAGGCTACCGCTGCACATGTTCCGTGGGATACGAGTTAAACGATAATGGCATTTCCTGTACAGGTATGTCGCTAAGAAGAAATTAAAAGCCGTAAAGTAGATTTTTTTTCCACATTGGTTGCGCTTAGGCCCCGTAATTCTTAAACATTTACTAGTGAAATAAGAATCAAAGAGCATGCTTAAGCTGCTGCAACTCTGATGGTTTGCATTCTGCCGGGGAAGTTACTAGCGCATTAAGACTGCGATAACTGAGTAAGTTATGACTTAGAAGAAAATTACAAGAGAAAATTCTTTTCGAGGTTTTACTGTCGTGGGTAGAGGTGGGAGGAAGATGGAAGCTATACACTGCATAGCGGGTTACAAATTGTCATAAAAAGTTACAACAAGTCATGATGCGAGATGCAAGTGTGTAAAAGTAACAGTGTTTGCTACATACAAGTAATTGTTAACTTTTTTCTCCATGCAGATATTGACGAGTGCGCGCGAGGTATTCATGGCTGCCATCATAATTGCCGTAATGTTGCAGGATCTTACTTTTGTTCATGTCAAAGAGGATTTCGACTCAGTAATGACCTCAAGACGTGTGTGGGTAAGTCTGTTGGACAAACTTGCATATCGATATTCTGAAATATTATTTATTTTAGTACCTTCACTGTTCGACTTGCTACGTAAAGACATATTTGAGGTCATGTTTTCTTGTCTGCTAACTTAAGATCTTACGGCTGGTAGGAAGCACGCCTCCTTTGCTTTAAGGCTATATTAAAAAGTAAACGTATTTTGCCAGCATAGTCGCTTTTTCTAGACTCTAATGAGATGTATGCTCGTTGTGATAAGCATCAGATTTTCATATAACTTTATATTTGACAGAATTATGTGTGTTTTGGTGACCCTTTTAGAAATTAGGAGGACACTTTGTGATGCTTATAAAAGGCATCCATTTCAATAGCGTGCAATTCTGGACATGTTAAAGTGCACATGAAACAAAAATTTTTTTTTTATACATCTACAAAATATATCGTTTAAAATATCATACAGTTTCACCCGAAACTAACAGGTTTGCATTTAGAAAACGGAGACTAGCAGCTGTTTAGATCATGACTGCTATTTCAAGTTATTGCGCTTTAGACCTGAATAAAGTCAAAACCGACAAAAAAGATGCTTTTTCAATTAAAATTCTTTTTCTTTTCTAGATATAAATGAGTGCGCGTTGTATCCTGGGATATGCCCTTATCCCTCTCGATGCCGAAATACTATTGGAGGACACACATGTGACTGTCCCAAGGGATTTGTCAGTCACAGACAAAAGATTTGTGTTGGTAAGGAATAGCTCAATGTAACATTTCAGGGAGCCGATGAAAATTCTTTGAAATAATAGTCTTACTTTCTTTTCTTTAAGACGAAAATGAATGCGCAAAATCAAATGGCGGCTGCAACCAAGAATGCCAGAACTACCCTGGAAGTTACCGCTGCTCCTGTAGATATGGCTTCATGCTACAGCCAGACAGGAAAACGTGCAAAGGTAGACATTTCAATTTTATTGATGTTAGAGCAAAATTCTTCTTTCCATCGCGTTATTTAATGCTACTCGTATCTTAAAATGACTTTTCAAATTTATTATACCCCCTGCGAAAACTACCTTTCTTTAAAGCGGAAACTCTACCTTCAGACGCGCATTTCATTTTCTTCCAAGCTGGACACCCTGATCGTGCGAGAGAACGTTTTGCTTCATTCACTCCACACTCCAACAAATACATTTTCCAGATTTTATTGGTACACTTAATACAAAACGCAGTTAAATATTTGATCTTCCATACATAATGGTGAAAAGAGTATTTTCCTCCCAGTAAAGGCAACCATTGAAATGAGAAAATCTTTTTTTCAGATATCGACGAATGTTCAAAATATTCCTCCCTTTGCCAGCATCGCTGTGTGAACACGCCAGGGAGTTACAAATGTGTCTGTCCACCTGGTCAGCGGCAACATCCGAACGGGTTCATGTGTATGCCGATATAACGAGTCGTCCCGGTTATGTTCGCGACTTAACAGACCAGTCATTCTAACAATGGCACATTGGACATATTTTGCTTATTTTGCTTAGTAATCGAAAATCCAACAGATACTGGTACAATATAAGCTTCCAGGCAGAGTCGTCTTTAAATTCTCCTCGAAACGAATACAAAGTTAACGAATTACGTTTCTTTGCTAGGAATAAGCCATGTTCGTATTCTCGGTATTGGACTGGAACTAACCTGCAAGTGAGGCTAATGCGGGGAGTCTTTTCAAATACAAATGTCATTAATCGTTTTTTAATGATTTTTCCCACACAAGCCTCCATTTCAAGCTAGTTCCAGTCCAATACCGAGAATACGAATATGGCCTGTTACAGATGGTGTATTTCTCTTGGCCTTTCACGTGCTGCTACTCGGCAAAACGTTAAGCAGAAGAAAATTCCTTTGAGCTATGATCCATTAGAAATCTATTTTTAGACTTCTTGAATCTGGTCACCTGCATGGAGACCTAAAAGGGATTTTAGCCCGTTAATTAACGTTCTGATTTTAAAAGTGATTCAATCTTTCAAGCAGAATGACTAGCAATTCTGCTTTCAAGATTAACTCAAGTGGGACTTTAGACAGTAAGCCAGAAAGTCAGTATTTTACTCACCAGAGAGAAGGACATTTTGACCTTTATTTGCAAAGGTTATTTCAAGAATGTAAATACAGTGAACATTATGTTGTATTTAATTTACCTTTGACAAGGTATCCAATGTTAGCACAATTCCTCAGTGAACTCGCTTAGAAAAATTCCATGTTCTTTTAATAGGCGGCCTATACTATTTAATGCAGCTAATTTCTACGTAGCTAAATTGAAATCGCTCTTAGAGCAGGGAGCAAGAAAACGTTTTTATTCCAGACAAACTCAAAAAATTAGATCAGCTCAGCATGTCTGACACCTCCAGCCACTTAGCAACTCTGTAGCTTGCTTGACCCACGGCCGTACTTTTCGACAATGAGAACTGTTTTATATATTAAAGAAAAACGTTTGGCACCAGCTACAACTATATCTATGTAGTTGGATTAAAATGGACACTTGTTTAACAAAGGCTTTATGTGGCCTTAACCGTATCTTAAAGTGCTCGTGAAGTTATCATAACAAAAGTTTATATGATACTTTGCTGCATTTCTACACAAGCTAATTTGGCAATGGAAATGTATTTGACAGCGCTATAAAAGGCATGTATTGAGCAAATAAATTTTTAACTTCACGGCTCCAAAGAAAAGTGAATACCACGCGAGCCGAAAACATCTTAAAAAATGAAAAAAATATTTCACAAGCACTTTGAGCAAAAGCATTCTTCGTAAGAATGAAAAATTGTTTTAAGACATATGAAGAGTTTCTTTGGCAGCTTTAACGATTGGCTTCTGAGTACAAGGGTTACAGTTTCGAAAATTATTTCACACTGGAACATATCTTAGAGAATGAGGGACATTTCGCCACGGTAATTGCCATTATTACAACTATCACGAAATTAACTGATTAACTGCAAATGTAGCTGTTGTGTAAAGTACTTGGGAAGTCACACAATGTTGTCTGCTGTGCGATCAGCGTGACGACAGGTAGACGAGGAGAGATCTTAAATGTAGATAGATGTAACATAGCCGATGATTGAAATCAAAAGTAAAGTCGAAACTCGTTGGAGTTTCCCCAGCCTCTCTCTCCTCTACCTCCCTTGTCGAGAGAGCCTCGGAACGCGGTTGAGTTGGCAAACGCAAAACGTTGCTACGTGTATTTGCAGACGTTTTTATTATCTTTTTCCTGTACAGTCGGGTGAACGGGAAGACGATTGATGATCGTTGACGATTATCGTACAATAATTTGATATCAAATTAAAAAATTAAAAGTTATTTGAAAAAAGATGTGTCTATTTATTATTGCATTCTTGTCCGGTCAAACTTTCTTCTTTGCTTCTGAGTGGCTTCATCGTCACTTGAGTGACGCATTTTCTTACACGCACTCATTTTGTTGTCGTTTTTTCTATTTTCCTCAGACTGGCGTCCTGTGTTTATCTGTTTTAGCAGGAACTTGCTCGTCCTTTCTATTTTCCTCAGACTGGTGTCCCGTGCTTATCTGTTTTAGCAGGAACTTGCTGTTCTCTTTGTTATAACGGATGTTTATTTCAACCAAACTTGGTCTTCTTGGTGACAGGTTCGTTGCCATCTTCTGCACTGTTGTCCTAATTAGCCAAAAAATATATATCTATTCTCAACGTTAGTAAGCCTCTTTCCCAAGATCTCTCTCCCTCCCACCCTCTGGAGCCTGGAGCGAGAGAAAAAGAGTTTTGACGTTACTCTTATTCGTTTACACAAGAAGTCAACACAATAAACTCGGAGGGCATACAAAGAGAAGGCCGTTTGCCTTGCAGCTGTTCTGTTGAGTCATTGAGTGAGGAACATCTGATCAAAGGTTGATTCAGTGTCCAGTTCCCGCCGCTGAGAATCAAGCTTTGAAGACCATACTACTATCTTAATGTTCAGGTAAATACCTTTTGTGAACTGAAGCTGAAGGATAAAAATCTATTCTCTGTCGAGGACTTGTCCAGCTGAATGTTCACAGTCACTCGGTCAAACAAACGGTACGTGACGTCACCAACTTTCAGTGATGGTTCCTAGAAAACAAGGGAAAAACCTAGCTGAGTCAGCATAGTTATCGCTACACGTTCCGTGTAAAAATACTCGCAACAGGAAAAAGTGCCTTAATAAACTTATCAAGCTTAATAGCACTTCACCTCTTGGTTGAAGGTAACGGCTGAATCAGTTTGTTTGTCCATGAACACTGTTCCCTCCAGGCCGTACTTTGGAATCAGAACTTGAAGGGCATTCTTGCGAACAAATAGAACAAACGCCTCCTCCTCTGTTACGGCTTTTCCTTGGAAAAACAGCTGCCAAGAGAACATTTGCCGCTAGCTAAAAACTTCAGCATTATTTGTAAACGTTGCACAGGTGCCTGTGGAATTGCTTATGATCAACCTCGGAGCTCAGAGGCCGATACGGAAATAATAATGACGTAATGAGAACTACATTACCTGACAATGCAAATCAATGGAATCCCGGGCTGCATACTGAGCCATTTTGTGGCGGAAATTCAGGTGATTACAGAGTTTCTGAAACCGAAAGAGAAAATATTTCATGACCGTTGCAATGGAATCAAATATACAAACCCTAAGTTGGACACCCACCCACCTGCGTTTTAACTTTGCTGAGGAGATCTGGATACGAATCCAACGCTCCAATTGCAACAGCTAACAACCGATGCACCATGATGTCCGAGTATCTGCGGTGGAAAGTAACGAGGAGCTTTGAGAAATAAATCATGATAAAGTGGACAAGAACAGTGACAAGAGATAAAATTACAAACAAACCTTCTGATTGGTGACGTAAAATGAGTATAAATTGGAGTAGCCAGACCATAATGTTGAAAGTCTTCTTCAGCAATCATGCCGGAACAGAAGTAAACCGCTTGCATCATGCATCGAGTCGCCATAACACGGAGCAGCGTGTTGAAGTAAGGTTCATCCGGGATGTGAGCAGCATTCAAAGAAACCGCGAGGGACTTGGCACTATCCACCTCAAGATGAATTCCCTGAAAGGAAATATGTGCAAGTGTGGGCACAAACAGATCATAAAGAACATCCGCCATGTAGAGAAAAAGACTAAATAGATAAAAAAAAAATGTCTTGATAGACCAATCCCCCAAATAATGTAAAAGAACATACCATGGTTAAAAATCCCAAAGAGACAAACCAGTTGGGTATTTACAAGCGTGGTCAAGAAGCTGAACTCGGAACTACCAAGAAATACACCAGCTATTGGTCAGAAAGGGACTTGAACCCTTGAAATCTTCGGATTTCAAGTCCGGCGCCCTAACCACTTGGCCACGCTACCTCCTATAAAGAAATGCTCGGATCCGGAACTGATTTGATGCTTAAGGGAGATTCACAACTAACGGATAAAGAGCTGAAACAAAAACAGCAGCTCACCTTAGAGCGTGCAGCTTTCACCAGGATATCGTAGTTTGCAGGAGGGGGCGAAGGATGTCTCCTTAAAACAGCAAATTCCGGAAAATGTTGAAAAATTTTCTTGGCCACTGAAATGTTGGCTAATAACATGAACTCCTCCACGAGGGAATTAGTTTCTCTGGAAATAAATAAATAACAAGAAATGATAATTGGTAAGTGATTCCAGCTGCAATCCAGGTTGTTAAATGGGATGATAGCTTCTCGTGATAACAGAAAACATGTAGCTACAAAAGTTCTTTTTAACTTTTTCGGAGCCAGAGCCCAGTTAAGAAGAAATTATGCCTTCAATTAGGCATGCCAATGAAAACTAATGAAAGACACAAAACATGAACAAATTGACATGTCTTACTTAAGCTCCTTTGTCTGTAGATCCACAGGGTCGTGTGTTTCGCTATCGATATGGAAACGAACTTCTGGGGATGCGAGAGTTAAGGCTCTGAAATCACAGTAGACAAGAAAAAATCAAGACAACAGAAACACTGAAAAGAGTAAGTCTAGTTATGTAAGCAGACATCTTCATTACTTAAAAAACGCACCGAACTCAAACTTTTCCTACCCCTGCTCGATCCTCTTCTGCTTAAGAATCTTTGCCAGTTGGTTGAGATGTCTCAGACTCTGGGTTATTTCATCATCTTGGCTTGGATCGTCAATTCGCATTTGAGCTTCAGCATACGTGAAGGACATCTGAAAATAAATGCAGAGCTTGAGAATTCATCGATACTGTAACAGCATTTAACTCATGCGGTGGATATAGCCAATCACAAGGCTGAAAAGCCTTTACATATTCGACGGTATCGCACGGGTTCTAGGAATGATAATTTCTCGCAACTTAATATACCGCTTGTATGTTCCACGATGGTCTAATATCATTAACAATTAGATTATGAGCTCGAGATTTCTATCCCGTGATAGTTGAGGATGGGACAGCCCGAGTTAATTAGAACGGCATTCGTGATAGAACGCTAGTAGATTTACAATAAAGGGTGATGGTTGATGAGACCAAAAGCATTGCTTCAAGTTTCTGGAAATTTGATTAGTTAACTACGTTATTTTGGTTTTCTGTGAGTATCCAGATACCTTGGTGTTGGTTTAAACTTACTCTTGAACAGATGATGCTTTTCGTGAATTTTGTAGTGACAATTTCAGCCTGTGGTGTCATTTCCCAGATGGAGGAGAACGCCAGTCTAAAGACAGGAAAAGAAGCTATGAATTTGAACAGTTCAGTTACTTATATTAACGTCTCTTACCACATCTACACAGTGCAGGACATCAGGACTTAACAGTCACTTGACAGTGAGGATAATCTGCAGTTTAGAGCAGTACATACAAAAACAAAAAGAAAACGTTTAACCTGACAACTGACCTGTCCACATTAGATCTCAAGGAACACAGATCGGAGCTGAGGAGTCCTGGTACCATGTCAATACGCTGTATAAGAGAGATCAAGCACAATACATGGAAACAAGTCCGATATTCAACCGTCAGCACTACGGCCCTGCGACATCAACTGACAAGACATATTGCTATTCCCCTGAATGGCAGACTAGTCTCCATTATCAGTCTGTTTCAAGATTTTGTACATATTAATATATTTGTAGACTTAAATAAAGAAAGGTAATTAAGGTTTTTTAACAATAAAACTATTCGCACTGTTGACACGCGTTGAAAAGATTCCCCACCCAAAAAACTGCGTAAAGAAAGGAGAGATCTATACCAGGTAGTACATTCAATAATAGAAAACAAATAAATCTATGAAATGTGGCAAATAACCTTATCTGTGAGGTAGACAGTAGTTGCTCTGTTGGCAGCTTCATCATCTAGAGCTGTGCCTGGTCTGATGAAATGCGTCACGTCTGCAATGTGCACACCAACCTTATAAGAACAAGGCCTTCCATTAACAACAGGTCAACAGCTAACCGTGAGTTAATGACGTGCAAATTAAACCAGTTGAATTGTGAATCGAACACGCTTACACAGACAAGGGCCAGTGTTCGTTTTACAAGCAGATGACATTTTCCCTCTACGCCAAAACTCCAAGCAGTTACTGCTGCCCTAGCTTTGCTGAACTGATTTTGGTTTAAAATAATAATGGAACTTTGTTTGTTTTCTCTGTCATTACCTCATAGTTTCCATTCTCCAACAATCTCCAATGCAAGGCGTCGTCGATATCTGTACATCCCGGAGGATCAATACTGCACACGGCAAGATGGCGCAGGTCCAAACGACTTTCCACATCCTTCAACCAATCACACATAAATTGGAGAAACGTTTCAAGAGGACAAAGGACAAGTGCGCGAAACAAATTATTAGGTTCATATCACAAAGCAATCAGTTATCCATCATGACATAATTCTTACAAGCTAAACACTGCAGTTTATACCTCATCTGTGATTTTCCATGGCATAACAGGAAGGTCCTTTTGCACCGCCGCAGAGAACGGTAAGTGTGGTACATCTCGTTCCAACAGTAACACCTCATTCTCTGTTTCTTTGTCACCGATGGCACCAAGTTTTCGGACAAAATGGCCCTAAGTGTCAAAGAAAAAATTATCATCATTTCAGGCACGAATTCTAGTTTCAACAATATCAAGTAACTAAGACTATTGCTTCTCTCTTTCCCACCCCCTCCCCCAACCCGTCCTCGGGCAGGATATTAGTCTATCAACGGTAACATCCTGCATTTTATCAGGATTGACTCACAGTTAGCTGGTACCCTGTCTAGGGTGGGGAGAAACATTATGAGAGTAAGGATTTTTTCTAAGAACACATCACAATAAACCGAGCAAGGCCTGGACACTTACATTAGGACCCTGGTCAATCATGTATGACTACACAGAGTAACCATGGCTTACCACAGGATATTTAGAATGCTGAGGCCATGAATCAATGCTAACCACAATTCTCTGTCCTTCAAGCGAGGCTGCCTGACGTGTTTCAATCACAATCCTGGGAATTCTTCTTTCTGCTGCCACAAACAGGTGTCTTGTACCCTTTCAAATGGAAATCAAATGATACTAAGCCTTATTGAAGCAATTAAAAAATACACCAATGGTGTTTGGAAACCGAAACCTTCTACTATTGCATCACTTTTGAAATCACACACAAAAAACTTTTTAATGAGTTAGATGCCTCCATGCTCACCTCTGGCTTGGCTGACTTGGACAGGATGCCACAGTATGGACGCCAGTTTCTCTTAATGATCCCGACAACCTATGGAAGAAGAAATAAAAAAAAGCAAATCACAACACGCAAATTGTTCAATAAATAGCAACTTTTCTTGAAGGCAATCTTCATTAATCTGAATCAAATTTTCTAAGTGACTGTTCTTACATCTACAAAGGCTTATTAAGTTACAAATATTCTGCAAAAGGGAATTGCCACTGAAGCCTTGTACATAATATTACACAGCTAAACACATTGTACAGCTACTGGTCAAAGTACATTTTCTTCTTGTTATAGTTTATATTTTTCATAGTTTGTAAGCCAACATTATAAGATTTCCAGAAATTATCAAACAGAAACAATTTCTTTTACTTTTCCTGACAACACTTTATTTGTTCCCTCTTTTTGTGACTCAGTCTGAAAAAAAATTCACAAGGGTTACATTCTTTTTAGTTGCATATTGTAGTTAGGTCTTTACAAACAAAAAGCCATGGTATGGACATTTCGTGAATAAGCTTTTAATATTATCAGACTGCCTTTCAATATTTCATTTAACGATAATTTTACAGAGCATGCTCAATCATAGAGCCTTTAAGTATAACACTACAGGTTGAAATATAAGCAAGGACACTTCAGATCTTGCTCGGTGCATTCAAATTCTTGAAGGGCAGAGCTTTCAAGAATTGTTGTTAAAAGGTTGCTGTTTCTTTGAATTTTCTTAGATTAAAGGTACCTTCCAAGTGTTTTTGTGTATATGTTAACTCCTTCTAATGTTATTATGCTCAATTGTAGTCCATCTCACAGCTGTTTTTGGACTCTTATACAGCATTCTTTTCCATTAGATAGAAGTACTATCTGATTACCAATGGCTGGGATGGAAACTAGCTATCACAATTAATTATATAATATAACATGTATACCATAAGGTCACTATCATCATCATCATTATCATCATCACCAGTCGGCAAGGTTGTAGTTACAACTGATGATGGACAGGTCCATTGTTTTTTTGGTAGGATCTCCACAGCAACAATATCTTCATGGACTGCACGGTTGAGATTTACCAGTCCTTGGAGAAAAATCTGTGAGGGACATGTTTGTTAATGAGAGACAAAAAGATACTTAAAACAAGGCAACATTATTTTTGACCAGGAACCACTTTCAGCAGCGATGTCAAAATGTACGGCAGCCAGGAATTTTGCCACCAAGAGTACCTTATTTGCTACCTACTTCACACTGGAGTTCACTAGTCGGTTGACAAGTAACAGATTGTCTTCATCCTTTTACTCCCTACTATGTTCTGTAATCTTGTCTGCTACTACAAACATTTTGACAGAAATTGGACTATGCACATATATATATATCTACAATGCTCAGTTGCTAACAATGGCAATTGCTTCATATTCAGCCTTTATTTGAAAATATAACTTATCTTCACAGAGATTTACTTAACATTAACAGTTGGACTACAGTGTGTGTACTACAGTACTACAGCGTCTATTTCTTTGAGCAGCTTGGGCTGGGGTAATAGAGGTAGACATCAATAGTTACCACTCTGTGGTGGGTTCAGTAAACGGTCCTGCTGAATACAAAAGATAATGACATGCCTACATGGAATCCCCCGGTGAATTGTGATTGCAACGCATTTTAGCCTTCCACTAGATTTTTCTCTGAATCAACTTGAAGTAAACTGTCATGCCTCAGATAGATGATATAGTGTGCTGTTATTAGTCAAACAGAAATAAATTAACAAAGGACAGGAAGAGAACACCCATGTAAGGGTAAATTTGAAGTGTCCCAATGGTATTTTGGCAGGTCTTGACAGGGTCTGATGTTATCTTTCAACTCTACCAATGGAGTTCGATATAAATGGAGTTAATTTAGGTCAAGGRAAACAAAACTTAGTTCAAAATAGCGGGGAGTTCAAAGTAGCTGAGTTCTAAGAAGCCGATAGTAAATAACTGAAAAAAAAGGGCAAATCCAAGGGATATAGGTTTCAGTTTGAAATAACAAGGAATTCGAAATAACGAGTTCGAATTAGTGGGGTCCAACTGTATTTGTAAATTATGAATGAAAAAAAGTTTAAAAAATATCATTATATTGTCTACTATGTCATAATTGTAGCATTTTTAGCCAATCAGATTGTGCATAGAAATCAGTCCATGTTATAAGCTGAAAAATACCTGCTTGTCATCATCATGAACAAATACATAAGCTTCAGTGTAGTTTTCTCTGTTGATTACAAGTTGCAAAAATTACGAAATTAGTAGATGGCCATTGAGACTATTTTAAGGCAGACTATAGCCAAGCTGTGCATTAAATTCTGTATTATAGATAACAATATGTTTACTTACCTACTTCTGTGAAATGCACCCTAAGGAGGACAAAGAAAGAGAAAAAAAAATAAATTCATTGAACAAAAATGCTGTTATTAACAACTACTGGAACTTTTTATGTTCTTAATCTCTGCTGAGGTATGTTGAACCCACAGAAAAGAATAGGATGGTTGAATTGCCTCCATCTTGTATCAAACTAGATCCTAAATTCACTAACAAGTAAAAATTAGCTAAGGACACACATGTACATGTGTATACACAGCACTTTGAAAATTCTGCATCACCAAACATGTTAAAAGTCCGCATCAGACCAAGCAGTCCTCGTATGAACTTAATACCAGTTTCTTTAACATTAAGTAACTAGGAGTGACTATTATATACCTGTAGGTACTTGCCACTTTTTAATCCAACTTGTATTTTTGTCAAAGGTAGATGCTCAGGATAAATCAACTTTTTTGTTTTCTTGTCATCCATCTGAAGAATAAACAGTTTGTGTGTTCATACAGTCAAACAACAAATTTTACACCAATCCATTGCAGCCTGACCCACAGCAGGAAAGGATTTGACTTGTCAATAACTAGAAAGATGTAAACTGTTAAATAAAACAATTCTTAGTACCTGGTCTTGACCCTGTTGGGACGTGCGGGCAAGTCGATCGGCTAATCCTTCACATCCTTCAAGACTTTCAACATACTCCTGAGCTGAAAATTAAATTACATGCATGTTGTGGTTCAATATTACCCTTGGTACAATTTGGTATTTATCTGACATTTTCATATAGTACATAATTTATAACCTTGTCATAAACCAGAACAAAAGAAATCCAGTGTCCTTATCATTGTCATGACTATATTATTGTCATCATTATTGCCATCCTCATGATCATTGTAATCCTCGCTCTCATCATCACCACACTGCTAACATCTGACCATCACCATAACTGTAATCATTACCTGAGGAATTTCAGGTAATACATGTATACTGATTCACTTGACCGATAATAACAGATTCCCCTGCCTGATGTAGTGAGAGAAGTTTAGTTAACAAGTAAAATTAGATGAATCTAACCCGTATAGCTGATGATTCCCNACTCCGGTTAGCCTGAATATTACTCCGGTTAGCCTGAATATTACTCCGGTTAGCCTGAATATTACTCCGGCTAGCCTAAATATTATTCCAGCTAGCCTGAATGTCACTCCAGTTAGCCTGATTATAAATTCCAGTTAGCCTGAATAATTATGCTCCAGTCAGCCTGTTTACGATTTGCTCTGAATGATGGAAATGGTACCACAATTCAGTTAAAAAATTCTGCGGTTTTGCAGTCTGCATTTTACACCCAGTCTGCAGTCTGCAGTCTGCGTTTTATACCGGCTGGTACCGTCTCGGACATTTAAGTTAAGTATTAATATGAGTCTAAGCTACGTGTACGTGTAACATGCTATCAGCCTAGGCGTACAATCAAACAAATAACATAGACTATTAGTAATTTTATAGAGCAATGTACATTGTCACCTGATGTAATACCACGTTTGTGTCAAGCAATAAATAGTGCGGAAAACTACAGAGTTTAGAAGAGCTCAGGGGAGTGGAATCCAGTAAGCTTTCGTCAGCTTGAGCGCAGTTTGTACAGTGACTTGCTCCACACCAAACATCATCTCGCAAGTAATGTTCACGCACTACTTTCATTATTCCTCCCTTTCGGGTCTTCTTTACGAACACTTTAGATTTGAGCATGATTCCCATCAGTTAAAATAACTCTTCAATCTTTAGCTTTTCCACGTGGGCCGCCATATTGTTTTCTTAAGGTAGCATCCGCTGAGAGATCGAGGTTGGCTTGCGGGGAAAAACTTGCAAACGCAACCTCGTTCCTAGGATACTCTCTCCCGAGGCCCGTTAACAGTGACGTCAGTGCTTTGTCATTGGCTCAGATCCTATCCTTTGTTCTTTCTCTATATAAGTGCGACACCACCCGGATGGTCGGGCGGCCCGTCAACTCCAAATGAAGTTGTAGCTTTGTGCACACATGGTTTCTGTCAATCCCCCTCCAATACTCGGCCTGGTGCATCTCATCTCAAACACGTACACGGCCTGAATACAGGGCGGCCTGGTGCATCTCATCTCAAACACGTACACGGCCTGAATACATTAAGAGTCTGAGGCACTCCCTTAAGTGCGTTCTACTCTTTA